CCACTGAATTCAAGCCTAATACGGTTCAATGCAGGAAGAGAAACCAATTTTGGTTTTAGTGAGATATCTACAGCTGAAGCAAGTGTATTTAAGCTGCATTGTCCTGAGCTGACTTTCACACTAGTGTTATGTTCCTGCAACTCCCAGTGAAGTTTGGTTTACACCAGGCAGTGAAGAACTTATTACACACATCATAAAAACCCCTCTGTCTCAAAGGGAAAATGTCTTGTGAAAGCCAGTGTGGAAGGAAACACTGATATTCCCAAATGGACAGTTTAGGTAAAATAGTTGAATGGAAAGCGAGCCAGTTCCTCAGAAACCTGGGTGGGTAACAAGTGCATTCTCCTGTGCATGTGCCCAGTAACTGTGTAAGCAAGGAACTGTAAGGTTTTTGGCGGGATACAGGACTGAGGGCTGCACCGAAAGGGAGCAGGGAGGAAGGAATTCTGCCCAGTATAACTCACAGGGGACTCTGTTCTATCTGTTTGAGCATATCTGGCAATTCTGCCCAGTATAACTCACAGCGGACTCTGTTCTATCTGTTTGAGCATATCTGGCAATGCAGGTGTGGCTGGAAGAGGGTTGTGGGGCTTTTTCACAGAATCACAGAATATTCTGAGTTGGAAGGGGCCCACAAGGATCATCAAGCTCAGCTACTAAGTGAAAGGCCCATATGGGGATGAAACCCACAACTTTGGTATTATTAGCACCCCGCTCTAACCAGCTAATCTCAGTGGATTTGTGTCTTCTAGTATAATTAATTGTTAATTTCTATTCCTTAACCTCTACTTATTATGGATACTTGAATGTTCTGTTTCAACATATACCTGTTTGTGACCCTTTTATCCAGTCTCAGGTGAACATTTTGGGTAGTTATTTGAAAAATCCATATATAGAGAGTAGTTGAGACTGAAAACAGTCTTGGTTTCTCCTCTTTAGCATTTTTATCAGCTACATTCAAATAGTACATTAGGCAAAAAGAAATCTGCCCAAAGGGTTACTGAAACAGCATCACTGTCAGCTTTACCTGCAAAAAGTGATGAATGCCCTCAACACAGCAAGGCAGAGATGGGCCATGATGCCTGTCCTCAGCCCTCCTTCTCTCTGGTAGGAGCTGGCTCTGACTCCACATGTTCACCTCGACCCATGCACAGAGCAGAGAGGTCATTGCAATTAACCTTGTGTGGCACTGCCACACCTGCAGGACTGAGAGGCTCTCCCACGTGCATGGCAGCAGAAAACAGTGGTGTTCTACTATTCCCCATCTTTTTTTTTTTTTTTTCCATTTTTAAGTCTCTTCAAATAATATATTTGTGTCAATCCAGGAATGAAACCCCAGCTGCTGATGGCTGTTTCTGCCTGAACCTGAGCCTGTCTCCAAAGTGAAGGTGGCTGTGACAGCCAGCCAGAGTGTGGTGTGGGCTGACATGTTACACACCTATCACGTCCCTAATACTAATGCTGTGTGGCACTAAATATTCCAGCCATCTCCCACACTTCTAGCAGCAATTTCCACTCTATTAAGTATTACTGTTTATGGTGTTGAGGAAGATAGAAACAGGCTTCATTTTACATACAGTTTAGCATTTGTCACCAATCTACCATCAAATGGGTTTTTATATAAAGGCTATTGTATCAGATTCTATCAGCTATTTGATGTTAAACCTGGATTAATCATGAAATTACAGCTGTGATTGATGTTATTCAGGAACTAAAAGTTTTCTGCTTCAAGTTTTAACTCTATTACAGGCTGTTTTAAAGATTTGAAGTTCTCTAGAAGCAGCCAGGGCTGGCTGCTAGGGCAGATGTCCCAGAGGATAACTTCTCCAGAGGGCAGTTTGATCTGCTCACTGTGCTCTGAAATTGCTTGAATGGTGAGCTGAGGAACCTCTGTATGAGAAGGGATATCAGCTAAAATTACATTAGCTCTGTTTTGTTCTCTATAATTCTGGTCAATGAGCTTTCCATAGAAGAGTACTTCATTTTTTCCCAGACTCCTAATTTCTTATTGAAATACCGACCCCTTTCCTTCAAACACCTGTGAGTCCAAAGTAGAGTCCTTGTGCAGTGGAGTAAGGAGACACCCAGGTGGTTTATTTGGATTTTTTTCTGCACTTGCATGTATTCTGGCTATCTCAGTCCTGGTTCCCAGGTGAAGGGTATTAAACACCAGGAACAGAGCTCCCCTGAGAGAAAGTTGTGTACAGTTTCCCATATGTGTCTGGAGATGGTCTCACTTGGAATGCCTTGCGTTCATTAATTTAATTGCGTAGACTCAGCCAAAGTGCCACAAAGTGCTTGGGAAGAGCTGCAGGTGGGGAAGGCACTACTAGGTTGAGTGGTGCAGCCTGTGCCCACTTCACCCAGAGCACAGAAAGTCCTGTGTCAAAGAGTGGGGATACCAGAGCCTTTGGATTGTGTTGCTTACTCTCTGAGAAAGGGCTTCTCTAACTCTCCCCTTCCACCCTGAAGACTTCCAGATTTTTAAATCCTTTTCCTTTTTTAGACTGCCTTGTAATAAAGGAAAAGCTGTTCTGTTCTGCTAGGTTGAGTAGAATATTAAAACAATAGAAAGAAAACAATCAACCCCTAGATCATGCCATTCTTTAAGGAGCAGAGCCTTCTGTCCAGCCCTGATTTCAAAGCCAGTGGTTTCTGGTAGTTTCCTGATTTGTAAGAGATGGTTCCCCAGGGACCCAGAAAGCCTCTTGTTTTGCACCATAAGGATGATGTGTTCAAGACCCCCTGCCCATCTCCTGGCTCACCATGTGCTGCCAGCCTGCCCTGTCTTTCCACCACTGCCCAAGTCTCCCCCTGCTCCTGCAAGGTTTCCACACCATGAGCAAGGCAAATAGATAGGAATCCATCCTGCCCACACACAGTCTTTTAAGAGCACATAACTTATAGCAGCAAATACAACAAATGAGGTCCCTAGTGCAGCAAGACACACTAAGACCTGTCTGGGCTACAGCAGCACCAAGGTTGTCTCAAAACTCTTTCCATAGAGCCCAGTGCTCGAAGGCATAACTCATAGGAGAAATCAGCCCAAAAACTTATTTCTGATAAAAGAGAGAGTTTTTTTATTTAATGTCAGGTTAAATAAATCACAAAGCACAGCAGTCAGGATTTAGCACTTGCAGTGCTAAACCATACGGCTTAGTATTAACACAGTGCTTTCCTCATTCAAGAAAATGCTTTTGACAGCTTAATTCACTCTCAGCTACCCTTTGCATGTCATGAGCAAAGTCAGGAGCATGTAATTTTCCTGCTGATAGATAAGGCTGGACTCACACAGCTTTGTTAGCTTCCCTCTTCTCCCACACTCAGCACCCCAGCCAAGTCAATTTTTGCTGGTTTGCAGCCCATACCTGTGACCTGGATGTCCTAAGCAGTGCAAGGGACAGGATCCTGTCCTTTACATAAGAGCTGCCTGTGGTCCTGGCCACGCAGCCAGGGAGAGGAGCTGAGGTTGTTGGCAAGAAAAGAACAGGTCTCAGCAGGTGAAACAGAGCAAGAGAGCAGCTCTAGAGGCTAGGAGCAGGGATGTGGAGGGGAGGATGGATGTGAAGGGGTGCTTGGGCTGAGAAGGTAATTACAGTGGCTGTTTGTCTTAGGCAGGAGAGAATTTGGCACAAATGCTGGTGGAAGGATTCAGGTACAGAAATATTTAGACATTGTTTAAATTATCTTACTTGATGAAGATATGTAAGGAACGACATGGTAACAGACTGAGGGAAAGGACATTGGGTCAGGCACAGGACTGGGGCATGGGGTACCAGGTAGGTGTCCCTGGAGATCAGCAGTTTGAGGTGTGAGGGGTAATGCTGGGAAAGGCCTTTAACCTAGGGAAGTAGGGGCTGATTTCCATGCTAGGAGAGATACAGGTGGGTGGTGTTCCTGAGGAGCAGCTGCCCTTCACTGCACACCTGCCCAGACCCTACATGCCACCACTGCTCTCTGCTCCCAGCAGGACAGGGCACTCCTCACCAACAGACACAAACCACTCTGCCAGGGAACAGGGACAAACAAGGTGCCAGAAAAGAGGACAGAGCCCATCCCTCAGCTCTGTGTCCCTCCAGTCACTGCTCCTGTGGGGTGGATGCCACAGGCCCACTGCTTTCCCACATCCCAGGAAAAAAGTCCCAAAGACCTGTAGGGGGATCTTGGGCATGAGGTGCCCAGGGATAGGTCACAGCTCGTGTTGCTGCATTTCACCTGGGCAAGGGGCTGCTCAGCACAAAAGGGAACAAATAAAGATAGCTACCCTAGCCCTCTAAACATTTGGTATCCTGCTTCTAAATTATGTAAATATATCTGTGTGCCAGTGCTCCCCTTCACTCCAAGCTGGCATAACTCCTAGTTTCAATGGATTTCTCTGGCACACACCAGACCTATTACACATACAGTTTTTACACCAACCAAATTTAGACTTGTGTAGATTGCACTTGCATTTGGATAGTACCCACACACTTGTGTTGATTAATTATTATATTAATTAATTAAGAAGATACTGATTAGTGCCTACTACTTCTGTAAATTAATATCTACAAAGTTTGTAGTTATTGTAGGGGGTGTGTTATTTTAAAAGATAATCTAATAACATGTTTATTCACCTAGATATTTTTACCATAAATCAATTGGAGACTATACTATTTTTACTGAAACTTTCTGCGCCCTTACTTTCAAATACTTAAAGCTTCTTATTTAGAATTACTCATTTTAACTTTATTATAAACTTCCCTTGATTTTGTAGAGAATTAAAGATACCATTATTTAACTTACAGTTTTAAAAAGCTACTTAATTATGAAACCTTCCTGAAAGATCCCTGCATATATAAACCATGCAGTAATTAATAGCTAGAACAAATATTTTTAAATTTGCTCATTAAAATAAATTTATTCAGTTCTGCATCTCTGCTCAAAATATAGTTTCATGTCCCATTGAAAATGACTCTTTTTCTGGAAAGAGGAACAGAAACCAAAAATTTGATCCCAAAGTACATTTTACAAAACAAAGCCATTTATTCACTCTAATATTCTGCACACAGTATATGCTGATACCTTCAGTATCTCTAGGCTCAAACTACTTGTTACATTTTGCTGTAAGCCTGAATCTAATACAAACGAGAGGCTGCTTTAATTCGTTTAAGGAGCAGTTCCCCTAGCTGCAAAGGCATTGAAGAGAGCCTGGAAGACACAATCTGTGTGATGCTGCTCTTTATTGTCACAGGTACAAAGTTCTGATGTGGCAATGTTGTGCATTCAGGTCATTGAACATTTGTGGATCAGGAAGGACTTTTCAGTCTCTGAAATGGTTACAAATGTTTTTTATCAGAACACACTCAATATAAGCAGTCTGATCTCAGTGAAGTCCTACTGTTTTATTTTGGGTTAATAACAGTAAAGTCTTACCAACTGTTGATGGAGAAGCCATGGGGTTAATTTATATTCATGTTGGAAAAGCAAAGCAGTGCTCCCTCCCAGCTCTGACAGATCTGCGAGTCCCTTCCATAGCTGATTGTCAGGTTGTCCCAATCTGTAGCTTAGCGCTGACAACAGCTCACAGTTTATTTGCAGCTTTGAAGCCTGGTCCTATGGTGTTTTTCTTCTGACAGGAGATGAATAAAGGTGTCACTGTGGGAGACTTTTATCCGGCTGCTATAAAAAGGAGCCTCTTTGCCTTCCCTTGAAAGATCCTCTAGTTCACTTCTGGAGCCTGCGGCTTTCCCCTCAGCAGAATTTAGTTCCATCAGTTCCAATTCATGTTTGGCAGCTGTTTCTAAAACTCTCTGTTTGTTGTAATACCTGACAAAGTTGTTAATGATGGGATGGATGGGGAGGGCGATCGCTATCACCCCACAAAGAAAACTGATGGCAGCATTCAGTTTTCCTAGTGTTGTTTTAGGGTAAATGTCTCCGTATCCAACCGTGGTCATGGTAATGATTGCCCACCAAAATGATTGAGGGATGCTTTTAAATAAAGTTTCAGGGTGACTTTGTTCCATGGTATAACCTAGGGCAGAAAAGACAAAGATGCCAACAGCTAAGTACATGAGGAGCAGCCCAAGCTCCTTAAAGCTGCGTTTCAGGGCATAGGTTAGGGTCTGGAGCCCTGAGGAATGTCGTGCAAGCTTGAAAATCCTTGCAATCCTCATGATGCGCAGTGCCTGGACAGCCTGCTGGACATTGCTCAGCTCCATCAGCTTGGCTCCCAGGTGGGTCAAGGTCAGGCTGACGTAGAAAGGAAGTATTGCTAGCACATCAACAATGTTCATGAAGGAAAAGGCAAAGTGGAGTTTGTTGGGAGAGGAGATCAGCCTCAGCACATACTCCACAGTAAACCAGCCTATGCAGGCGGTCTCGATGCTGTCCAGGGTCGGGTGCTCCATACGGTTCCCCTCTGCATCTACCACCTGCAAGTCTGGGATGGTCCCCACACACATCACAACAGAGGAGATCAAAATAAACAGAAAGGACAGTACCGCAATCACTCTAGCTGGATAGGATGATTCTGGCTTTTCCAGAAATTTCCAGATGCATTTTTGGCACTTTTTCCAGCGACTTTCTGAGGCATCTATTCCCAAGTCATCCAGAATGAGTTGCACCCTTCGGGCTATTTCTTCCAGTTCCTCCTTTTTTTCACTTAGGTGAGCTTTACAGCAGTCATCCAAAAATTTCAGATCTACTTTCCAAAATTCCATTTCATTCTTGAAACATATGGGGCATATTCCTTTCTTCATGTGAATTTCCCCAAAGTAGTACACGTCAATAATGCATTTAAAAGCATCTGGATCTCTGTCAAAGTAAAACTCTCGCTTTCCAGGATCATAGTCATCACAGAGGGAAAATATGCTATCGTATCCCCCTGATAAACAATTGACCAGCTCTGCCAGACGTGTTTCTGGGTACTGATTCAGGTTATCTTCATAGAACACCTGCCTTACCCCACCGACATTGACTACAATCTCCATTTCTTCACTTCTTTCTGATCCATCAGTGTCCACATCTGGAAACCTAGAGTCACCTGCCATTTTATAATTGGATTTTGGTTGATTTTTAGCCCTTTTTTTGGTTTCACAGCTTTATGGTTTTAATCTCTCATGAAAGCAAATCAGCACTGAGCCAGCTCTGTTACAAATGTCACCAAACTGCCCTGGAGTCTTGGTGGGAAAGGTTACTGACAGAAACCTGCGGTCGGGAAAGCCTGGTGAGGAACGCAACAAGCTGCAGGGAAAAGACAAGTCATCGGGCTGCTGTGCCTGCAAGCAGGGTGTTAGAAAGCCCCAGCAGACTGGAAAGACAAGAAACCATTTAATAAAACTCACCACTCTGTTCAGTGCTCGAGAGTCTTTTCAGGTCCCATTCTGTCTCTAAAAGTGATATCTATTCAGAGCTGGGAAGTCACGGCAGAGAAATAAATCCTGAGCTCTGATTAACGTGCAGTGAGTGACAGCTCTGACATCGGCGGGCTGAGCCCCCGGACTGCCGCGGCGTCTCCCTTCGCTTCCACCGATTTCCCTAGAGAGCTGCTTTGGAATTTGGTTTCTCTTTCCGTTTTCTGTTTACTTTAAGGTCTTCCAGAGTTCATCTGCTGACTCTCGCACATAGTCAGTCGGTGCAAACAGGCAGAGGAGAAACTTGTGCTTGTTTTCCCTTCGCTGTTTCCCAGCACAATAGGGAGCCCAGGCTGCCAGGAGTCCTTTCCAAACTCTTCCCTCTCCTGGTGAAACGCAGCAAAGCACCAGATGCACGGAAAGCGCTTCTCAGATATTTATATGCCTGCCCAGTGGTAAAATGATGTGTTTCTATACTGACAGGAACTTTAAAGGATTTTTAAAACTTTTTTTTTTTTTTTAATCCCATGCAAGGCTTAATCGTGTATAAAGTCATTCAGAGCTGCAGAGAGACACAGAAACATTTTCTCCAGGCAGAAACCAGAAGAAGCAATACTGTGTTTTGGGAATAAAAGTAGGACATAAATCTTGCTCTCAGAGGGACTGGAGCAACTCTAGAGCATCTCTGTCCTGTGTCAGGGCATTGAGTTAATTTGGATTTTTACTGGTGTTTTTGAGAAAGGAGCAGAGATCGTAAAGTTTCTGCTGCAGATGTGGAGCAAAACCTCCCCTACACTCTGTGCATGTTTCCCAAAGCTCCGGCTCTTCAGTTTTAGCTACATTTCTGTGGCCTGTAGTCAGTTGAGCCTGGGGAGGGTTTGGGTAATTTACATCTATTATGATTTCTCACTGACTGCTACTTACCAGAAGCAGTGCATTGTACCACATCCAGCTCTTTAAAAGTAGAAGTAGAAAAACAAGCATTTCCTTTTAACTTTGTTTTCTCTGAATTCCAGGATTTCATGAACATTGTTCCCCCAGATCTCTACATGCAGGAAACCTATTACACTTAAATTATTAAATCTGACTCTACAGTTCATTTTAGTGGGTCCAGGAAAACCTGCAGTTTAAAAGTTAACTGTTTCTGGCCATAGCAGAATGGTTTGCACCAGCAAGTTACAGTCTTTTCCAATTTACTGGCTCTTGAAAAGCTTCTCAGTAGAGGGGAATAGAGAGGAGCAAATCCAGCTGGATGTTTTCTTCTCCAGGCTTGTGTCCATTCTGGGAGAAAGGTGAGATCTGCCATGTGCCTGCTGTCCTCCCACTGGTGTCACACAGCCAGGGGGAGCCTGGTGAGTACACAGTGTTCCTGCTCCATTGGCTCAGAAGCTCATGGGTGATTAATAGAAGGTTGTGCACCAGGCCTCGTCTTGGCATCGAGTGTGGTCATAGAACCACATACCCACAAAAAGGGAATATCAGGTCCCAGGAATAGAGAAATATTTATTATTCTACATCTGTGTCATACTGTAAACCTCTGGAGGCCAGTGTCACCTTCATGTGCTCCTGAGTGTGCTGCATAGTTTGGGTATAATACAAGAAGTCCCTTGAATTTTTTTCCAAGCACATATAAATTTACTGAGACTTGCAAGCTTCTTGGGACAAAAGAAATACTTTGGAACCCTGGAAAAAACCTCAATTTTTTTGGTTCATCAATAAATAATTACCCACCTGTGGCTCTCCTTACTAACTAACTTGACTCTAGCAAAATAAATTTTAAGATGACAATAGCAGTGACATGCTTGCACAGGGGAAAATGCAGATGGGATTACTTATCCAATCTCACAAAACAAAATCAAGGTCTGGAAGTTTGGCTTCAAATTTTGTCACGCTGCATGAGCATAGGGAAAAGTTCTGTAGATTTAAATCCTCAGATCCTATTCTCTTTGATCAACAGTTCATTCCAGTGACCTTTTGGTTTTTCTCTAGGTAATGATAAGAAATCAATGCAGAGTCCAGCATGATCAACACAGAAACCTTTGTTTCCAAAAAGGCTTTTCTCCCCGCCTTATCCCTCCCCATCCATTTTACAGAACAAATACCTACAAAAAGGCACACAGGACATTGTTCAGTTTGAAAGGTGAAATCAGCTCCTTTCAGATGATAAATCTCAGCACATTCTCAAAAGGTTGAGAAGAAACTATTTTTGAAATGCCAGATCTGTCCTTATAAAGACTTTACTTAGTGTGGCTGCTAAAATCCTTGTGCTTTATTCTCCCTCGTCTTGCACCTTTTCAGAGTTCTTTACACCTTTCAGTGTGCCTGTGAAATGTTAGAGGAGATCTGGTAGCATTTTAAATCCACTTGGGCAAATGTAAATGATCCAAAGAACGGTCAGGGAAATCATAATGAATTAAACTCTTGTTTTTGTAGCTGAAAAGAGAGGTAAGGCTTGATGAATGTTTGTATCAGATGTATCACAGATCAGCAAGCAATGGGAGCAGAAATAATAATTTATTCCATTAACTAATTTTTCATCCATGAAAAGAAAGCTTCTCTAATCTAAAAATTTCAATAGATAATTGTTGCCCTGCAAGTCATTTACGACCAGATTGCTGCAATTATTAGGGCTCCTAACTTCAACTTCTGTTGCCTGTGAGAACAGGTCAAGCTGTGCTGTGTCTGCTGGAAGCAAAATGTGCTGGCAGTTGAATTCCTACAGACCCAACAAGAAACACAGAGG